GTACAATATTCAGGGAATTGATGTTTGTAAGGTGCAGGTACTTGACCAGTGCCTGGCCAGAAAGGTGTTTAGCGTGTATTACCTGTTCACCTCACCTGATCCTCTCTTTGTATTTATATGAGGTTCCTTTGAGATGTGGGCCTGGGATAGATGGCCACAGAAGACAGACAGTTCTGCTAACAGAAGAGATAGCTGTGAACATGATGTGCCCCAACCATCCAACTCACTGGCCCAACAACTGCTCAGCTGCTAACTACCTGGGATATCAAAATTTTTCAGTTTGAATACCAGAGAGCTTCTAGAATGATGCAAGCCAGAACATTCCACCATGCAGAAAGCATCTGCCTCATTGTTATCTCCTGGCCTTCCCAGAGTAGAGAAGAATGCAGGGTGAGGAGAGCCCAGACCCAGTGAGGTTTTATACAAAAGCAAGACACTCGGTAAAGAGCTTGCCACTTTGTGTCAATGACAGTTTGATGAATGTCCCCACCTGAGACTCCATCCTAAGAGTCGACCAGGCCTCTCACACCTCCATACTCGTGGTAGGCAAGCAGGGTCTTCCTGACCCAGCCACACCTCTCCCACTTCTACCACCCGAAGCACACTCAGGTACATTGCACGGCTTAAAAAAACAGCCACTCCCCAGATATAGGAAACAGGGGCTATAAATGGACTTTAGATACTGGATAAAAGACAAATTCTAAAATCAAAGAGGCTGGAGTTTCACTTACTGCTGGGTGACCTTGATCAAGCTGGTCACTGCTGTGACCCTCAGTTTTCTCATAAGAAAGATGAAGATGATCATAGCACTGTCATGAGGGTTCAGTAAAGTAGCTCAGAAATTGTTTTGGGAAAGGCTTAGCATTGAGCTGTACACATAGATGTGGCCTCTAGCACTACTGCTATTCAAAGGGAGAAAAACCAGGACAGATAATGTAGCCTAAAGTTCTCCAAAGAAGGAGAATTAGCCCCTCTAGTCAAAGAGGAGGGCCTGTGTTCAAGTCTTTAAAATCTCCTAAGCTCCATTTCAGGTTGAGCATCCCTAATCCACAAAATGGAGGCATCCCAAAGTCTGAACCTCCTTGATCACTGACATGATACCACAAGTGGAAAATTCCACATCTGACCTCCTGTGGCAAGTTACAATCAAAATGTAGATGCACTAACAATGTCGTATGAAATTGTCTTCAGGCTATGTGTGTAAGGTAAATATGAGCCGTAAATGAATGTCATGTTTAGACTTGGGTCCCATCCACAGATATCTCATTTCATATGAGCTGTGATTGGAAAGTATAGTGAATGCTTAAATTTTTAACAATTGATTATCATAAAAGATGCATTGCCTAATGAGTCTCAAAATGGCCCCCCTCATTTCTAACACATTTGTCCTATCATTCTTGCTACTTTTGAAAGTTCTTTTATGTGTCCTTAGTTTCTCTGACATGGCTGCTCCCACATCCTGAATCGATTCAAAACATTTATCTTTCCTGGTCATTTTGATTTGAAAGAAGAGCCAGAAGTTTCAGGGTGCCACGCCCAGTGAATAAGGTAGCCGAGGACATGGCACAGCGTTTTCACGAGCCTGCTTTTCCTTTGGACATCACTTGGCAGCAGCATTCGCCATATTTTTAATCCTCCTGCAGACACTCCCGAAAGAGAATTTCCAGAACTGCTTCAGAAAATGGCAAGAAGAATGGGGCAAGTGTGTTCAAAGGAAAGCGTATTACGAGGTGGCTTGATGGTAATGTCTTTTGGCTGTAATAGTTTTTAAAAATTTAAACATTCACTGTCTATTTTGATCACCACAGAATATAAAAATATTCCAGATTTTGAAAAAATCTGAAATCCCAAATACTTCTGGTCCCAAGCATTTTCGATATGGTATATTCAAACTATATTGCTCGATTTGCTTTAAAACAAAACAAATAAACAAAAAACCACCAGCTCTCATTTATGGACCAGATAGTGCAAGATTCCTTTCACAGAAGCCCAGTTCAGCTGAGTAGCTGCCATTCTTTCTCCCAAAATAGAGAGGGAAGGGACAGGCTGTTAGACCTGGCTGATGCTGAGAATCACTGAGGCTCTCCTCAGCATCTCATTCTCCATAAGCAGCTTAATTTTATCTCTCGCTACACCTACGAGTCTTGCCTGAGCAAGCCGGGCAGCCTGGGAGAGGATGAGTGACCCAGAGACTGCGCCCTCTTCTGTTTTCTCTTGCTCCCTGCTTCCTGAGCTCGGCACCTTGCGCTCTTTGCCTAGTAATTCTGCCAGCCCAGGTTGTTTTGAAGCCTTGCCTCTGGGATATAACATCCCATGCTGAGAGCAACAGGAAACAGAAACACCTGGAAGAGAAAAAGAAGTCCAGATAGTCTCAAGGGGAGAGGGCTGCTGGGGTAGCATTCAGCTTGAAAGCATTTTCAAGGGGGAGTCAGCATCGCTGTTTTTCTGTCCCTAAGGCTGTCATCCTCGTCCTCCTTGTCCCCAGAAACCGGATATGCAGTGGGCTCATGAATCTGTGCCTAGTTCTCAAATCTAAATTTCCTGTTCAGGTGAAGAAGATAAAATGGACTAGTGAAGGATGCACAGGAGGGTGTAGTGAAAACCTGTGTTCTGCCTACAGGGGGCAGTCGCACCATTACTGCCTCCTGAGTAATCACTTCTGAAGAATAAAGAAAGGCTTTTTTTCTCAAGAGAAATTAGAAATCTGCGAGGTGTGTATGTGACAGGTCATAGCCCACCTTTTAAAACACAGAAAAGGCTGTATTTTAGTATAGACGGTTGAAATATGGTCCAAAGAAGGGGTTGTCCTCCAGCCATCAGATAAGTTGGCCAGGTCTCTTTAAGGAGTAGTTCAATGTTTCCCTGCAAGATGATGTTCTCAGAGGGCTCTGAATATCAAGACTTGGAGAAAAGCATTTACTACTTATTTTTTAAAACAAAACAAAAACATTGTGTGTTTGAAAAAATCCATTCCTGACCTCTATGCTTGGCCCTGTGGGGGCTTCTGGCTTTTATCTCTGTTTTTCTGGTCTACAACATCCTCCTACAAATGCTCCCAAAGTAGAATGACCTTGACTATAATTTAATACAGAGAGCACAGGAAATTCTTGGAGAAAATGCTGCCAAGGGGCTAGACAGTGGGTGGGGTAGATAAGGATTCATAAAGAAGAAACTGAGCCCTCTAGAGACTCACATTATCATAACTACTTCGTTCATTCACCAGGAAACAGGCGTGACCTTGAACAAGCCCGTTAAACTCTGAGCTTCCGTTTCCTCACCTGTAACGAGTGAGGGTAGCACTGCCCATCTGCCCAGGTTACTACAAGAATAATAGGATGTCGAGAAAGCGCTTCGGAAAACAGAGAGTATTCTAGCAACGTGAACTGTTTCCAGAGTGAGCAGAAGGACATCTGTGTGGACCCCAGGGACCTTGCCCATTATTAGCCAGATTAAACAGGCAGTTCTTCTTCCGCCTGTCACTGCCAACAGCTGCTGCTTGCACGCAGGATGCACAGGGGACCACTGGGAGGACAGAGCCCACAGCTGGGGAGTGGTGGCGGGATGCTTTAGCACCCATGAGCGGCCCACCACTGCCAACTGCAGGGCTCCAGGGTGCTGCCATCAAGAGACTCCTGAGGCAGGGAAGCCCATTGCAAATTTCATGGGTCAGTCTCCACCGGGGAAGCTCTGTGCCAACCTTAAATATCAACATTTTCAAAAGTCAGCATTTTTGCTGTTGAGGTTTACTGTCCCTCCCTCTCCCCCACTTTGATTCAAGAAAGAGTTAAAAATGATTTTATATTGGTTTCAAGAACACAACTGGTTAGTCTAGGATCAGAAACAAAATTCTTAGCATTCATATTTGCTTGACTTGATTGCTCCATTCTGGAAAAGCTTCCCATAACCCACAGTGGATGGGAAGACTGATGGAGGGGCGGTCAGTGCCACCTTAGGAGGGAACCCCCCTCCATGGTGTGTGGCATAGGAACTGGGTATGTCTTAATAAAGAATCAGCACTAAGAATAGAGGGAGAAATAAGATCTGTGTCATTTGTACCATCACAGAGCTGACATTCTTATGCAGGAGACAAACGGTAGAAAACAAATATCCTCAAATCCCAAGTTGAGAAGGGTCCTAGGCAGGAAATAAACAGCAGCAATGCTAGGCAGTGCTGGGGGCTGGGCTGGCCCTCCTGAGATGAGGCGATCAGAAGAGGCCTTGCCGCAGAAGTAGCATTTGCACAGAGGAGGAGAAGCCGACTTTGCTGAAAGAAGGCGGAAAGAGGGTTCAAAGGCCCTGACAACGATGCACAGGATGTATCTGAGAAATGAAACGGCAGCTGGTAGAACAGAGGGTAGTGAGAGGGGTGAGGGAGAGCACAGGGCAGAGGTCCAATCCCGCGAGGCTCCCCTCATCCTGTGTGTGCGTGTGCACGTGTGTGTCTGTATGAGAGAATTCATGTGTATTCACGCGCGCCTATACAAGGGGTACATTTTTTCTGACAGGATGACCTATAACTTTCATCAGATTGCCAATGAGCTCAGTGATCCAAAAGAGTTCTCTGAATCAAAATTGCTCTTAGTCAATCAACTAAAGCTTTGAAACAATTGTGCCAAGTGATTTCTTTTTTTTTTTTTTTTCCTTTTCTTTTTTTTTTTTTTCTTTTTGGCTCCTGCAAGCTCTGAATCCTAAAACAGAAAGTGCAACACGCAGGCTGGCATATCAGGTCTTCCTCAGTGCCTGCGGGTGCTCAAGAAGGCTCCAGATGATAGGTGCGTGTGGCACAGTGTCCATGGTGACAGGCAGTACGAAGCCCAGAGGTGCTCAGAGTTAGGGTGGGCACAGAAATGCAGTTTCTCCGGCCAGGTTGCAGCAGAAGCTCAAGGCTACAAGGCCAAGCACAGGCAACTCTGCGGCCGCAGCCCCCGGTGCAGATACAGTCTTTGCTCTGCTGGCGATTACCAGGATGACGCACTCACCCACCTCTCTTCTGCCTGCAGCCTCCTCAATGCCAACAAGATCAACTGCTTGCGAGTGAACACCTTCCAGGACCTGCAGAACCTCAACTTGCTCTCCTTGTATGACAACAAGCTGCAGACCATCAGCAAGGGGCTCTTTGCTCCTCTGCAGTCCATCCAGACGCTGTGAGTATGCTACCCAGGCTGCAGAGACCCTGGGTGCCCAGCCACACAACAGACCCAGGTGAAGGCAGACTGAGCACATGCTCTAGGGGAGTGTGCAGCGAGGATGCAGTGATAAAAACAGCAGAGCGTTTAGGCCGGGCTCAACACCAAGTACTTGCCCTGTTTTAAAACCTTTAGCCCTCAGGACCCCAGGTCAGATGCTGCTTTATCTACAGTTTCTATGTGAGTTTCTCTGTGAGGAAATATACAGAGAGACAAAGTAACTTATTCAAGGTCACCCAGCTAGTAAGAAGTGGGATTTGAATCCAGGCAAGATCACTACTGCTACTGTGTTCTGAGCAGGCTGCATTTCTGTCAATAACCTATTCCTGGACCTTGACACATCTGCAAAGCCAGGCCTGTGAGACAGGAACCCTGGAAATACTTCAGCTTTCTCTTTGGGAAGTAATTTTTCATTCCCACTACAGCAGATGTGTATACGTATTGCAGGAAATAGATGACATCTGAGTACAGATCTGAACCCGTGTTTTGATGGCTGCCACCTCAAATTTAGATTCAAACCCCACCCCAGGAGTCGGGTTTCCTGACTAACTTATAAGTCACCCAGTATTTCACCCGTATAGCCAGAGATGGGAAGCAGCACAGAGCAAGAGCAGCTGCTGCACAGGCATTGGAAACCACGGGCCAAGCTCTGTGTTCCATGCTTTGCAGAGTTTCTCTTACTGAGGCAGTGAAGCAAGGCCCACGGCGCTCTCAGGATAAGGATAATAATAACGATAACCACAACTATATATGGAGCACCCACCATATGCCAGTTGCTGAGCCAGCTGCTTTATATGCCTGCTGTCACTGAGCTTAGAGAAATAAAATGCATTTTACCCTAAGTGTAAACTCTAACGCGCGTGACTTGTTTGGTCAGAACTGGTATGGGTGAGAGTAGAGATAATCATGGTGAGTCCTGCCCCGAGCAGGGAGAGCTGGGAGCCTGATTCCCTGGACCAGATGCTGGCTGCATCTGTGCCTCTGTTTGGCAGCCAGCCAGCCGTGGGCCCTCTCTTTGAGTCTTGTCTGAAAGGTGTACCCCCAGGCCTCTTGGGGTGCTGAAGGGAGGAGCCCTATACTGGGTTGTCAGGGCCCAGCGCCATGGAGGGTGGTAGGGGTGGGAGGAGGCACCACGGGGGTCACCCCTAATTAACAGCCCATCCCTCTTGCAGCCACTTAGCCCAAAACCCGTTTGTATGCGACTGCCACTTGAAGTGGCTGGCTGACTACCTCCAGGACAACCCCATCGAGACAAGCGGGGCCCGCTGCAGCAGCCCACGCAGGCTTGCCAACAAGCGCATCAGCCAGATCAAGAGCAAGAAGTTCCGCTGCTCAGGTAATCAGGTTACAGGGGCTGGGCCCCACTTTCTGACTCAGAAAACAGCAGCCCGAGAGGCCAGTAATCCAATCTGGAGGACAGCAAGCACCATAATGGCTCCTGGGGAGCATCTTTGCAAATTAAATTGGGGAAATTCAGTTAGCCCTGCAGAAAACCAATTACTTTATGGATTTAAAATCTCTCTCTCTCTCTCTCTCTCTCTCTCTCTCTCTCTCTCTCTCTCTCTTTCTCTCTCTCTCCTCTTTCTTTCCTCTTTCTCTTTCTCTTTCTTTCTCTCTGTCTCAAAGCATGTGCACGGGGAGACAGAACCCAGGTTGCAGTTTAGCCCAGGTAGAAATTAGGAGACCTGGGAGTCTTTGTACTGAGCCCTTGTTTCCAGTGTATGTTCCCTAAGTGGCAGCTAGAGAAATAAATGTAGCCCAGGCCAAGCTACAGGCACCGTAGTAATCCGAGTCCCCTCAAAGACAGACTTTGAGGTAGCCCTGGGACCACAGTGTACTCCAGGTTTCACGGTCTCCTCTGCCCAGATGGCTGCACTCTGATGATAGAGAGGACAGCAGAGAATCTGGAAAGAAGCAAAGCCTTGTTCTCCTGTGACCAGGCTGTCTCTAGAAACCTTCCCTGCCGTATCCAGAAAGGACATGGGGACAAATGGCAGGGAAATTCTCGGTCTGTCTCCTAAGGAGAGGGAACTGTTTGTGACTGATACCTAGATGAGCAGGCAGTTACAAATTACTATCACTGGTGTTGCTTTCTACTGGAAAAAACCAAGCTGCATCGTGCTCCCAGTGGTAAGAGATTCATAGCATAAGGTGCTAAAGGGGCCAGACCCAACCCCTCACAGTCTGGATCTCAGTGGGAACAGAGCTTCTTGCCCTGTTCTTGCCCAAGAGCGTGTTCTCTGCGTGAGCTTTCCCAGAGTGCGTGCCAACGTGAGCACTGGTCTTCTGGATGGGACCAGCACACTTCTGCTTCTTGTATAATGTTCTTAAGTCAGATTCTTTAGTCTGTGTCTCCAGGATGATGACTTTAGCTATTTTATGTTTTTATAAGTTTTTAGCAGAAGCAAATACCCAAGATGGCTTAGCCTCGAAGAACTTTGTGGCACTCTGAGGGATCCGTACCACTTTGCCTTTCCAAAGTAGTGATGTTGAATGAACAGTGATCTCTCACCAGTGAGGAGAACTGTGCTGAATGCTGCTACTTTGCCTTACCCTTCCAGTAATCCTTTGAGATCAGCAGGAGAGGTTCCTGTTCTCCAGCAGAGGGATCTGGGGACTCAGGTGCACCCCAAGTCACAGTCATCAAATGGTGAGGTCAGGACCAGAACCCAGGAGCTGGGGATATAGCTCAGTGGTATAAGCACCTTCCTGGCAAGCATAAAGTCATGAGTTCAATCCCTGCTACCAAAGGGAAAAAAAAGACCAGAACCCAGATCTACTCGCTCCTCAACACTCACATCCCTCGCAGCATCTTAGAAAGAGAAGGCACATTTGGGAAGGAGCATTTACAAAGGCCATCCAGCTGCTCGACTGATTCCCTCCTCCCCTCACACCCACCTCCGTCTTCTGGAATTTGTTTTTAGCTTCCTTTCTGAGCCTAGCAGCATCTCTGGAAAGAAAATCTCTGAGCACAAGCTCAGGCACCTGAGGCACCTCAAGCTCACCTGAGGCACGCTGGTCCTTTCTCAGATCCTTCCCTCGTGACCATCAGAGGCCTTATTCTGTCCACCAAGGACTGAGGTCATTGGCTTGGCCAGTCAGTAAAACCCAAGAGAGGGGAAAGTAAAAGGCAAGGACAGGACACTATCTGCCAGCCTTGAGCACAAGGCTCAGCACGAGTGTCCTGCCCATATCTTACCTCTCACACTGGTGGCAGGGCAGGGGTGCGGTCAGCCTAGGGCCTGAGCACTGGTATTCCTGCGGAACACAGTCTTGGCAGTGGCCTAGAGTAACTGTGGGCTTGGCTTGGCTTGGCAGCAACACGGTAGGAGTGGTAGGCACAGAAATAACTAAACTGGAGAAAAATAAAAAGAAAGTAGAAAGACCAAAGCATAATTTTAACTCTAGTTCTGCCACTACCTACCTATCCACCGTCTACCTACCGAACTTTGCACATAGAGGATCCTGGCTTCTTTTTCTATGTGGGACAGAAAAGGTTACAAATAAAAAAGAAACAAATAGGGGGGAGGGAAAGGTTCTTGGATCGACCTTGTCTAAAATATCATTTTTAAAAAAACAATGCTAAGCAGAAAGCTCATTCCTACCCAGGCAGAGGCGTTTAGAGCTTTAATGAGTCTAACATATGGCATTCTATATGTTTTTATGTTATGGAGCTGCAGGGGAGAGGTCGAGAGAGCTACCACTGAGCTCCAGGGACACTGGCTTTGAGAAACACCAGGACCTGGACCTGCCTCGGTCCTGAGGGGATACAGAAACCGTAGGCTTCAACCTCTAGCTTTCCAGGAAGCTCCCAGAGAAAGAAGGAGGGAGGTGACACATACTAGACTTGACAGATAATAACTCCGCATTTTATTTGCCCCTAAAAGCACCCCCTTGAAAAGACAGCTGATGTAATTAGGAGCCAATTTGAAGGCTGCTCCTGTGATACGGAGAGCCCCCTCCTTAGCCAGGGCGTCTGGCTTCCCAGCTGCTTTGCTCGGCCACCCTCTATCAACTGTAGCCGCACTCTAGGCAGTGAGATCAGTTTAAGGGTGGATGTTGCCATCTGGGTAATCTGACCAGAACATTAAATCCTGCTGCACAGACCGCATCTGGCTCCCTGGGACCTCAGGCCCATCCCCAGGGAGCACCTGGCAGTTGAAAGATGCTGTCTGTCTTCCATCACACACCCCTGCTTTATGTGAGAAGAAACTCTCACGTTGAAAATACAGGGCTGGGGTGTGGCTTAGTGGTAGTGCGCTCTCCTGCCATACACAAAATCCTAGGTTTCACTTTCCAGCACTGCAAAAAAAGAAAAAGTAAAAAGAAACGCTGGGAAGGAAGGGCTCTGTATCCAAAGAGAGCCAACAGCAAGATACCTTAGACAGCTCAGAGACCCTCCAGTCCATTCTAGAGATAAAGAAACTGAGGCTCCCACAACAGAAAAGTCCTATGTAAGATGGGTTATTACTGGGGGTGGGGAGTTAGCTCAGTGGCATAAGTGCCTGCCTTGCAAGCATGCGGTTGTGCGTTCAATCCCCAGTACTGACAAAAAACAAAAAGATGGGTTATTATTGTCAGAGCAAGGTATGAAAACCAGGATTTCTGACATAATATGGAGATTCTTGATAGTTTGTTTTCAGGCCCCTCTGTGTCCTTTTCGAAAAGGAAACCAAACACAAAGAAAAGGAAAGTCTAAGGTTTCAGGGGAATGAAACGGTTGGATTTACTCTGCTCAAGCAGCTGAGGTCCTGATCAAACTCCAAGATGAATCTCAGAAGCAGAGTGTTCCCAGACCTTGCATGTGTTAAAGTGATGTGAGTCTAGATTACAGTTTCTGGTGCTCATCTGTAAAATGGGCAGGATTATGAAGATGGAGGGACCAGACACGACTTGGGTGGGGCTATCACTGCAGACCACTTGAGTACTGTCAAGATCCTAAGAACATCTTATAGAAGAATCCAGTCCCTCCGAAACATTGTAGAAGAACAGTGACCCTGTCCTTCCTGCCAGAGGATTTATGGCAAAGGTCTAAGTCCCTTGGTCCTGGTTCTGCTGACTTCAAGTTTTACAACTCTGCTGAGTGGAAGGAAGTCCCAAGTTAGCAAATGTATAGAAATATCCCTTGATCTGTCACAGATACAGATATAAAGACTGACTATCCTCACTGGGTCCTTGGCATCTAGGACCACTGATAACTGATCAACCCACCATCCCCATGATTCCCAGCCAGGGAGATCAGAAAGGATTCTAGGAGTATGTCTTCCCCTGATCAGTTGACATGTCCCTTTTTCTCGCTTAGTCTGAAAGAGGCCCTTCATCAGGAGCCACTAGTCATCATGCATGCACTAGCTAATACCTCAGTGCCAGTGAGTGTTCTCAGGTCATAATGACTATAGAGTTCCCAGCCCAAACCAGAGGCCTCATTGGCTTCCCTGCCTTTCTCTATGGCCAGGAAGTTTTCTATTTTTAACGTCACACACCTTCTCTACTAAACCTCAAGTGTTTTGGAATGAACATCCGCCAGCCAGAGGGTTTCTAGGGCTCCTGAAAACATTGAGGAGACTCCTGAGTTTGAAATGTCAAAGGCGGGGTGGGAGGGTTTTACAGCAATGTGACCTCACTACCCCACTAGGGATTGTGGTCTCTTTTTTAAAAGGACAGAGGAGTAGGCTGGGACAGAGCCGCTTTGCAGTTGAAATGGTCCTAAAAAGCATGCAGAAGTTGCATTGCTAAGCTTGATGTGTTCTTAGGTCAGAGGGTGTGGTAGAATGGAGCTGAGCACTCAGCTCAGGTCTAGGATGTGATGGACATCTGAGTGTCTCCACTTCCCTTGAGAAGGATGCGTTCTGCCCTGAAGCTCCGGATTACGGGAGTCTGATGGTTTCCCACTGTTATTCTCCTTCCTCTTTTGTCTCCCCTGGGACGGGCAACAAGGGCGGTGGGGCTATCTTGGAAGCATTTCAGTGGAACCGCACTCTGGGTACTAATCACGCTCGGTGGGGGCCTGCTCCGGCTTCCGCTCCTCCACGCTGCTTCCTCTGAGTGCTCCTGTCCTCTCTCTGACGCTGCTTCCTGACCTTGACTCTGACCAGTCGCCGCGGGGCTTTCCTTTGTGCTTGATCTAACCATGTGGTGGAACGATGGAAACGGAACATGGTTCTGTCAAGCACCGCGGAAAGCACCGCGCTCTCCTGCAGCATGGCCCGCCACAGCCGCCACCACCGCTGGACACTTCTCTGCTCTGGAGCACCGCAGCCCACCACCTGCCAGACCCACCTCTCCCCACCTCAACTTGCAAAGGGCAGGAGGGTGGGAGTCTCAAGGGCTTCAGGTGCAGGGCAAAACGGGGATGGTGAAGCACACTGAGCCAAGCTGACATCTGTCTACATCGCCCGCCCACAAGATGCCTGTCCCCCAAATCTAGTCAGGGAGCCGACCAAGGAGGAACAGCTGGGTTCAAACCTTCCATTTGAAGAGAACAAGTATCCCCAAGGCTGTTGTCTCATGGGAGAATCCCTGCCCCAGATCATCTCCCCAAGTGGTAACTAACCCAAAGAGGATGCTTGTGCCTCTTACCTCCAACGTAGTGGTACCCACCTGATTGGAAATGCATGTAAGCATGACGGCGGGTGAGACTGCCATGAGTCTGAGACTCTGACCTTAACCTAAGTCTCCTTCTGAACCTGACCCTCACTCCTCATGTATACTTTGGCCCTGACCCCAGCAGACGCAAAATTGAGTCTGTTTCCTTGACCTTCAGGCACAGTTACTCCAGAGGTGCTGCCCTGTTCACTGGGTACTAACTCAGTACGAGGTAGGGGCTGGGCAGACCCTGCTTTTTTGATTTAAGAAGTGAGATCTTAGTGCCTCCTGTCTTGTTTGCTTCTTGATACATCCTGGGCCCAAAATAACCAGAAGATTGTGTTTTGGGTTCCTTCTCTAGAGTCTATGTCTCATCCCATGAGCGAGCTAAGGTGAGCTCTGACTTAAAACTAGGAGCTGAACTTTGAATTCCCATCAAGGTGTGTGACTGTTATATCTCCTCTCTCTCAGGTTACCTCTCAGAGTGAGGGGCCTAACATGGATGAGTAATACACTGCCTTGTTTACCTTTGAATTGGTTAACATACATTGAGTGCTAACTATAAGCTAGGCACTGAAATATTTTATGTCATTGCTTTGCTTAATTTTTACAACACTCTACGTTCTATTTTATGGATAATGATATTGAAGCTCAGAGAAGCTAACTAGCTGGCCCAAGGTCATCTCACTCCAGACTGGCTGTGGTTTGCCTCTATACCACTCAGTCTTTCCAGCTATGGCCATTCCCATTGCTCTGAATTAGAAAATTTTATGAATTTTGACTTAAATTGATGAGGAGTTTAAAAAGTGTTAATATCCCCTTCCAAAGTTATATCTGTTTTTACAAATAACTCAAATAAGAAAGAAAAAAGTACCGTTTAACGGGCTCTGCCTCTCCAGTGTGAACATACCAAGATCTTACTGGGTATGGAGCAAATCCTCAAGCCTGGAAAAACTCCCTTTCCCTTCTCCCAGAAGGGGATAGGCTGCATTCCTTGGCATTGCCCTGCCATGCCAGCAGCCAGGTCTGCCTTTGGGATGGATCCATGATGGCGCCTCTCCATCAGCCTCTCCTGCACTGCAATAGCAGGCAGTGACTGCCCGGTGCTGTGGGTATTACCCTCTGCTTACAGGCAGATGGCAGCGCTCACACGAGACTCCAGTGGGGAATAGGTTACTAAAACAGCTCCTGGCCCAGCTGCTGGGCAAACTCTTGCTACAGTTAGTGTCTCCTAGCCACTGCTATGTGGTCCCTGTCCTTGCCAGTGAGTGGATGTGTGTGTGCCTGGCAGCGTGCTCTTGATTCCATTCACTACTGTGACATTTGCTGGTCCACACCACTTTCTTTTCAAGCTGATGAGCCTGGACAGGCCTTCATAATCCACTCGATTCTTCTTTCTGCTCTTTCCCTTCTTTCCTTCATCCCGCCCATAGTGAAGAATATTGATGGTAAAAGAGGAAAGCTCTACACATATGAGTTGGCAGCTTCCTACTGATCAAAAAAATAATAAATATGTGACTTCAAACCAATGAATCAGTTGCCCAACAGATGACACAAAATGCAGACTGCTTAAGATGCAGTCTGGTGCTGGCCTCTGATCCCACCTCGACCAAGTCCATCCAAAGAATGAGAGGTTTGACCCTTTTCCTGCCCCAGACTTGGACCTTTCCCATGTTACGTGTATTCCTTGCAGGAAGTAACTATAGAGAGGAATTTATAACAAACTGAGTTGCTGTGCATTGCTACCCTTCACCCGTCTATTAAAGCTTGTCTGTGACCACGTACTAAGTGTTGTTGTTCTCAGCTGCCCGCGAAAGGGGAGGAGGGCTACAGGGCAGGAGCAGGCACAGTGCCAGATGACATCAGCTCTTCCAAGGCCCGCTTCAGCTGGGCTTCATGTTTATGGCCCTTCTTCAAATCCTCAGAGATCTCACCCGTCTGAACTCACCCCAAAGAGGAGAAGCAAGCAGCCTATTTCAGTTGGTTCTCTCCTGCTAAGTATTTCTGGCAGTGACAAATATGCATTGAGATTGAAATTGACTTTTAAAGCTCTGGAAAAGTTAAAAATACTTTTGGGTAGTTATGAGCATTAGGCATAACAAATGGCTCCGAGAAACCCTGGGTAGTTTCGGTAATGAAATATGAAGTGATGGAGGTGGCATTTCAGGCTGGCTCAGACTGGGGAACGAACTTCTTTGGTTATGTACATATGCCGTTATTAACATTTCTGGCTCCCACTCGTATAAAATATCACTGTGCGACCCCCTCGTTATTGCAAACCAGGGCAATAACAAAAACAGCAGGGGGGGGGGAATGCTGCAAAGAATACATTAGTCCATCGAATCTAATTGCAAAATCATTTCATTAAAATGGGTCAGCGGCTCCATTGCAGAGGTCCACCAGTTATAATCTAACTATACTACTGAGAGCAATTCCCGCTAACTACAGACTGCTCTCACCTTGATTAAAACGAAAATGCATTTAATAGGCGGCTGTCCCCAGCCGGCGCACGTCTTCAGGCTTATCGTGTTGAAGAGCAAACTGTGCTCCCTTCTGTCTTTCTGTCTTTGATCAGGGGTAGCATTCCTCTGCTTTGCAAGGATCCCATTATAGACACATTCTAAAAGAAAAATATACACACATGTGCAAAATGCCCCCTTCACACCATCTCCACGTGGATGCCGCGGTGGAGAACAAGAAGAGCGAGTTGTCATCTGGCAGGGTTTGCAAACTGAAATTCTCCCAGGACCCAGCACGCTGAAGTGTCTAAGGAAAATGGTCTGCGTCAGAGTTCCTCAGTGGAATTGATGCTGGCCACACGAGGGCAAGAGATTTGCATAATACACTGGACCGGGAAGCTACCCATACAGCTGTAAGGATAACGGGCAGGGACTGTGTTCATGCAAGCCTGGGGCTGACGGAAAGATGACAGAAGAGGACGGGGAGGGACCTGAGAGGGAGAGGAGGATGCATCTGGGCTGCTGCAGACTCTGTTTTAAGGAGACATTATCAAGTGCATTCCCCATCAGCAGTTAGTACAGGAAGATGATAGGAGTGGAAAGACAACAAAATGAAGGGAGACATTGGCTTTCTCCTTCACCATAACCCACTGGAGGAGAATCCTGTTCCATCCACTGCCGCCATATTTGATTTTATGATCATGCCTAGTGGCACTGGGATACATTATTTTTAAGTTACAAAGCACATTTACAGTAAAGCAAAGTGTTAGTCACATGGGCCCTGGCAGCAGCCTGCCTGGGTTTGTTCCACTGCCACCCACTGAGCACCTAGTAGGCCTCACGATCCTCATCTACAAAATGGGGTAGAATCTCAGGGCACTGCAGGGATTAAACAGACTGACTCATTCAAAGTTCAAAGAATAGCGCCTGGTTCATGGTACACGTGCCGTATATGTCAGGTATTACCATCTGCTCCAAGTGATGGTTTAGTGGTCTCTGACATGCTACATGTTCTGCCAAGTTCTAGGAAAGAACAGCAGCAGAATCACAAGTATCAGTGCTAGCTTGCCTCCTTCTGAGAGACCCCAGTTTACTTAGTCTTCCTCACATCAACCCTTGTGATATAAGAGCAGTTACTTGATTCCATTTTGGCTGTGGAGAGATTTGAGCTAGTAATTAGCAAAGCCTGGCCAAACCCATGCTCTCCCCTGCTAAACCCTGGCATGTTCCTCAGGCCCCACATTGCTGCTGATGAGATAAGACCAACGCAATGTCCCCCACTCGTTCAGCAAACCAGTGATGTCCACACTCTGTGAAATGCCCACTGGTATACACAGGACACTCAGCTGCCAGTGGTGCCCTTGGACCCAGCACTTGTTTAGGGGCCTGGCAGTGTGCTAATGAAACGTGAAGGGTGAGAGAACAAAGATGAGCCAGCCCCATCCATGAGCTCATGTCTGATAGGAGGACCAGAGTGCCCCCATTACCAGCAGCATAATTCATGGGCTCACAGAGGTCTGCTTAGCTGCTCCCCCAAGGCATCTCAGAGACATCAGATTGCCAGTCTCCTTACCATTACTGTGTGACCTTGAGAGAAATGCAATTTGAAGAAGATAAATCTGAGCTTCAACTTTGAGCTCATGGGAAATGGCCTTCCACCATAGTTAAACAAAACTTACTCTCTCAGACAGGTCAAATCTGACCCTCAAATGCATTCTGCTTATCTTGACAGTGTTTGCAGTTTGAATTCATTACTAGTATTTTTTAAATACCTGGACTCTCTTAGGGAAAACAAAGAAAAAAAGGAATATCTGGCACATCAGAGAGTAATTCCCAAACATTCAGACTGTGGGCTCCAATTCTCCTGATAACCTTGCTGTCATCTTTCTGATACTAAGGCAGACAACAGTGGTTTATGGTTATATGCTTGGCCTCCTTCACCCCATTATCTGCAAGGCCTAGAAGACAACTGAGTTTGTGATCTCTTCCCATATCTTATTGTCATCCCTGGAATATATAGCCATGAAATCTTTATCAAAATCTCTTCCATTTAGATTATCGTGAACATTTAGAGGGCCCTTGGATGAGAGGAATCACGGAACATGTAGCCTCCCAAAAAGTGTCAGCCAGTGATAGGTATAGATTACTTCTCTGGGTAAACATCCATAATTTTTATCAGCTTTTCAAGAAGATCTGTGACCCACAAAAGCATTAAGAGCCCCGGATCTTAAGCCTGGTTTTCCTGAGGATAGAAACTGATGGATGACAAAGGCCACATGGAAAATAAAAAAGGCTGGGGAGAGTGCAGGGAAAGCACCAACAAGGTGGCCAAATAATGAAGGTGACATCACCGTGTTTGTCATCTGACTCCAGTACGCACACAGCCCCAACTCCTCTGGCCTCCTTGTCTCCTCACCCCCACTACCCACAACCTCGGGCCTCAAACCAGGGAGCCCAAGTGACACTGACCCCCTCTTTGGCCCTGCCCAGGCACCGAGGACTACCGCAGCAGGTTCAGCAGCGAGTGCTTCATGGACCTCGTGTGCCCCGAGAAGTGCCGCTGCGAAGGCACCATTGTGGACTGCTCTAACCAGAAGCTGGCCCGCATCCCAAGCCACCTTCCGGAATATGTCACTGACCTGTAAGTCCTACCTTTGCATGAACGTTCTGTCCTCCCTATGCATACCCAGAAGCCTTGAGCCAGCTTGGATAGGTCTCCTGGCGATGACCCTTTCTGGTTCAGTCATACGGATATGCCTTGGCCTTCTCTGTGTACCATTGCCAGTGGTAGCAAACCTATGGCACATCTGCCACAGCTGGCTGTTTGCTATCACTGAAAGCACTAAAAGAATCACCATCACAGTACTAGGCTAAGGACAGACACCCAGGCATCTGTGGACAACTTGATTGCAAAGAAAGACAGTTCATTCATTCTAAAATGCTTTTAAAACACTAGAGACTGTATTAGGCCCATGATTTCAACACTGAATAAAGCACATAACCCCTACTGGCCCTGTGGATCTTATACAGTCATACCTGAGTTCACAAACACTTCTGTTTGCAAACAATTCAACCCACAAACGAAAGCTTTTGGCAAAATTCTGCTTCATTCACAAACTCCTAATCGGGTGGCAAACACGACCACCACCATCTTCCCCACACAAACACAAGTACAGCTGCTTTTACTCAAAATTGTAAAACAAATTAAGTTTCTAAATTGAAGTACCACTGTAGTTCTTTCTAGTTCACCAGAAACGTAAGGATTCAGTAAAAACATTGCAATAGAGCAAAAAGCAATGACTGTAGAATGGTTAAATATATCTGAGCCTTCTACTAAGCATGCTAATAAAGGGTATGTTGTTTTTATTCAAAAGTGGAAAAGCTAAAAACATATAGCATAATAGGTAATATGTGTCCAGGAGGGGCTGTGGGAGACGGATCTGATGCCTCTCTCCTCCAGTCTTCCTGAATTTTGCCACCTTGCTTCTGAGATCAGAGGCTCACTTTATTATCTACAAAAGGGGGTAAATAGTGCTAAGCTTCTACGGTTGATAGATCAAGAAAGAGACCCAAGTACAATCTTCATCTTTAACCCTGGATCAGGCTAAGCCCTAAGTAAATAGCAGGAGCATTATTATTTTTAATATTCTCTTTGACTTTGCATTGTAGGATACAGCGGCCTGCTCCCCTTGGGTCCATAAAGACAGTGAGTGTGGGGTCCTAAGATGCCTCTGACAGAAGGAAGTGGTCAGGAAGCAGCCAATGGCTTGGAGCCATAGGAGACCCAGGAGGAACCTTCCCCCTGGGTTTTAAGTTGCCATTGGTACCTACATAAAATGAAAGCAGATACTTGGTTATTGAGTGGACACCAAAAAAGGGGGGGGGATGCCCCATATAGAGTGTGAGCTAGAAGTCCCTTAACCCACCCACCCCACACAGAGGGGACTTCCAAGGAGGAAAAGGAGGCAAGTCGATGGTGTCTTCCCTGCCCCTTCTCCTTTCGGAACCCCTCATGGTGAGGGGCAGATGCTGTAAGGTTTCTGCAGCTCTGTTGACCTTTGTGGAATCTGAGTTTTAGGTGACAACTCAGCTGAAGCCATGCGGGGAGGCCAGGTAGGGGACGCAAAGGTGGTGCCTCATCCACAGCTAATCCACCTCCTCCTCTTGCCTCCTGTGCAGGCGGCTGAATGACAATGACATATCTGTTCTGGAGGCCACCAGCATCTTCAAGAAGTTGCCCAACCTGCGGAAAATGTAAGTCGGATCAGGAATATGGCAGCCGCCTCGCTGGCCAACGTCTGTGTTCAGCCTAGAGTAGAATTCTGGGGCTCTCGTGTCCTCTCACCCTCTGCTCCAATGCTTCTCAGCCTCCTCCTGTGGACGTACTGGATGTACTGGGAAGCAGGACATGTAGATGTGGGTCAAAGAAAGTGTCACCCCTGTATATTGTCAAGCATTGTGCACAGCATGCATTCCATGCCACCCTTACCCACCCTGCCTCCTCTGGGCTCACCGCTGCCCCCACCCCACACCCACTGTACAGCCCAGAGGTGATGGGAGGGAGCCAGATAAGCACCAGCGGTGGAGCACAGCTATCTGCAGGCCTGTTGCTTGGTCATTTGGATGAGGTGACAGTTTAAAGGTCTGCTTTTAGACAGAATGGAAAGACTTTCCGCACTAATGAAGTATGTCACCGTGACAATGCCGGCTATTCTCACCATGGGTTTCAGTCTAGGCATCTTAGGTCTGACCGGAGCCTGGACTCACACAAAGGACCCATGTGCTATTATGGTCTCACTTCTGTGGAACCTCCTGTTGTCACAAGGCAACCCCCTTGCGCTGTCTAAGAATTGGAGCCAAGTCGTACAGATGACAAGTGTAAGAGTGCTGTACTATTAGAGTACTCACCAGGGTGAGAGCCACATTCCCTGCCGCAGTGTCTCAGTTCATCGATTCCTCACTCACCCATCTCCTGTTGCCTCATCTTCCCTTTTGTGCAGATGTGGAGCTGGACTTGGAGAGGTTCAGTGACTTTCTAGGATCACACAGCAAATGGTGTCAGCACCGGCACTGAGACTGGCTCCATCCACCATCACACTAGGGTGAAGGGGGAATTACTTCCTGCTTCTTCCCAAGCTCCCCAGCAGAGGTGCCAGCACAGAAAGGAGGCCCTTTACCATCTGATTCCCAGGACACTCTTCTCTTTGCCCTCCACTCCTCCTTGTGATCCATATCTGCTGGCTCAGAGTCTGGGCCTGTTTCTGCAACAAGGGAAATACAGTCAATTCTCATTATACATAGGTTCCATACTGGCAAATTCACCTACGCACTAAAATCTATGTAGCTCTGCCGTCAAGATCTTTATACTTTCACAGTCATTCTCAGACATGTGCAGGAAACCAAAAATAATGACATCACTCTCCACACATCCCCTACCTGGGCTACACATGTTCTCACATGGGCTCGGGCAAGGCGATGCTCTGCGTTCCTGTTTCTGTGTTCATATTGTAAACAAGTGTGTCTTTTGCAGTTTCTCCAGTGGCATCCACTTTGCATGTTTGTACTTCTCCTTGGAAAGCACATTAAAATGGCCCCAAGCACAGAGCCAACACGCTGTCCAGAGATCGGAAGCCCAAGGAGGCTCTGCTTTGCGGGGCAGAGAAAATGCACAGGTTGGGGACCCTTTGCTCACTCAGGCACAAGTCACAGTGATGCTGGCTGAGTTTAATATTATTAACAAATCAGTAATACATTAAATAAGGTCTACAAACAGAAATATTGACAACACAAGCTTGCATATGTATCAGTTGGTTGAAATGTCATGAGCAGAGGCTCCCAGGAACCCCACCCTGTGTTTCCTCTGGGAGCCATGCTCTGGTATTCACGAGCTCACTCAGTGTTCTTGGTATCAAGGTGGAGCATATCTACCATAAACAATGAGAGTTGGCTGTAGCTCCTTATTTCTCTCTACTCTCCCCATCCCCATGCACCCTTGCCCTGCAGATAATGAGGACGCAGCATCTAGCTCTCATCAAGGTTGCTCACGCCTCCTGCCTGCCTGCCTGCAGCCACAGTGACTGGGACTGGACCCAAGAACAGGGCAGAGTACTCTGAGGGGACAGCTGAGATGGGGCACGTATGGCTGCCGGTGGGAATTGTGGCTGTCACTGTAGTCCAGGACCCTACTAGCTTCAGAGTCCCAGCACAACTATTCCCCATCACCTGCCAGGAGATGTCCTTTAAATTCAAAGCAGAGAAATGTACACTTTATTGTTAGCCTCAAGATAAAAACTTGCATGCCCCTGGGTGTGAGGCAGATACTAAATGAGCCAGGATGGCCAAGTGGCTATTTACCAAGTAAGCAGCGTCCAGCAGTCTTTGCTTCTGTGAAGAAATGTACACTCTCCCATTTCAGATGAAACATGCACTTTGTGTCTGTCTTTCTGTCTTCCTACTTCTGAAAGGAACATGAGCACAGAGAACTATTTCTGTATCCCAAGGAAAACGAGCACCAGCACATAAGGGGCAGACAGCTCCCTGCCTTAGCAACCAAGCAACAAAAGGGAGTTGGGATTGCAGGAAATGCAGGCTGCTGTCACATCCAAAGAGACAGATATTATTCAGTGTGTCCCCATATTTACCATGCGAGAATCGAGGTCACAGCTGCCAAGTATTTCTACTACTTAAAAGCACCCAGAAACTCAGGTGTGAGGAAAACTTGCATCCATCCTGAGTTCAGTTCTGTCCCTCCCTTTCTGTGTGACCCTAGAAATGTCATTCCACTTTGTGGGCCTTAGTTTCTATCTTTGCATGCTAGAAATTAGTTTATCTTCCTTACAAGGAATGATGAAGATCAGAGGTAAATGTGGGCGCTTGGGATATAGCTCAGTAGTACAGCGTGTGTCTAATGTGTGTAAGGCTCTGGATTCAGCACTATACAAAAAAGAAAGAAGAGGAGGAGAAGGAGAAGAGGAAGGAGAAAGAGAAGGAGAAGAAGAAAAAGCAGCATCAAATATAAAAAAATAATGCTGAAAGGAATAGCCTCTGGCCTTGGTCCCGGCATGAGAGGGTGCAGAAAGACAGGAGAAGGCATTGGGGTTGAGTGACCCAGAGTAGCTGGTTATAAATCTAGAACAGAGGACACATACCCAGACACTTGCAGGAGCCTGGGGAGCAGCCAATTGCAGAGTGGTTGGGTGCAAGGGTATAATCATAGTGATAATGTGATTAGTAATAGTAGCAGTGAATACTGAGACACTCTACTCTGCCAAATAGAACTGATATTAATTCATTTAACCCTCACCAAAAGAAACAAGTTTGAGACATCTTCAGTTTACAAATGAGGAGGCTTTCCAAGTCAGAACTGAAGTGACTGAGTCAGGAACCAGAAGTTGTGACAGTCCAGGTTATCTGGGGAAAGCACGCCCCATCTAAAAGCAGTAAAGTGCATGTGCATGTTATCGTTGTGCATAAATCCTTGTGTACACATCCACACCAACCAGCCAAATGACCCAGTGGGACAAATCCAACGCCAAAGGTCACTACTACAACCACTGGTTTTAAATTTTTAAATGACTTGAAGGTATTTTTGTTTGTTTGTTTATTGTATTTTTTTTTTTCAAGACAAGCTCTGACTATACAGTCCAAGCCAGCCTTGAACGTCCTCTGTAGCCACGGCTGGCTTGGAGCATAGAGCCGGGTGGTTGGGCTCTGCTGTAGTTTCTGCCCCTCTGACACCTGAGTGCCAGCCAGAATAGTGAGAGTCCCATGAGTATCACAAGTGCTGAGGGATACACTGGATCATTGCAAAGGGTCATTGCTACTATGGCAACTCAATAAAGATTCCAAATGACATCATGGCTGGGGTGAGCTCAGTCTTAGCCCTAGCTTGGATCACCAGGCTACAAAAAAGAAAAGAGAAGGAGAAATGAGAGGAGGAGAGGGGAGGGGAGAGGATGAGACAGGAGAGGACAGGAGAGAAGACCAACTGACATAACATTCAGAGAATCAAAATGTCTCTCAAGTAAACTTCCAAGTCACTTCTGACACTGAATCTCAACCACAGGCTAAAACTTGGTGGTGGTCCTTCAGCCACAATCAGATGTGCATTTTTTGATTTGTTGTCAGTTTTATTTTAAGTAAGAATCAATATCCCACTTTTAAAAACCTGGAGTTCTTGCAGAATCTAACAGCGTGGATTGCTGGCCTCTTTGGGAATATCAGATGCTCTGGCAGAACTGATTCCACAAATGGGTCCAGTTGAACTGAACCAAGGAGTAGCTGTCCCTTTAGGAGAGACATGTGCTTCTGGGTCATCTTTGTCCCCCACCAGGTCTGCTTTCATCACTTCTAAGTCACCTGCCAGACATAGATACATGAACCTGCAGCCCTCACTTGAACTGGAATTTCTACCTCAAAGAGGGGAACAGGAATGTAACGTGATGGACAGGACATCCTCATCCTATCTGTGCCGGTACTGTTCAGTCATGACCCAGAGTCCTCAGTTTACAGAATGCTCCATTCAGCTTTCCCCACTACATTTCTCTCAGAGACTGGGCTCCTAACAGGATTCCAGCTCATTCCCTGTTGCCAAAGTTGATGGGCAACCCTGCAACACCTACAGGACATAACCAAGGGGAGGCCAGGGCTCACCTTCCTGGCAGCCACTGAACCTGACAGCCTGCCTCTTGGGAACAACGGGAGCAGGGCTGACAGGACCAGTAGCTGACGGGGCACTGGGGTTGGGATGAGAGTTCCTGAGACCAGGTCCTCTCAGATGTCAGGCCCCGTCCTCATTAGGATCAGAGCCATGAGGAGGCAGCGTCCTTTCAGGTAGAGAATAAGATGAAGGAGGTCCCCTGATGACCCTGGTTTGTATTTGGAGTGCTCTAGTATCCGGGCCTTTTTCAGTCTTCATACTAGAGATACATCAGGGCTCTATAAAATCCCAGTGTACTCATATTTTTTCCAGAATGTTTGCTCCAAACAGTATCCTCTGACCTCAGCCCTGCTGCAGCCTGCAATAGCCAGCGGTGCTCTGACGGATGGAGAGAGAGCAAGGCAGCCTGCTCTTCTAGAAAATTCTCTTTCCTTTTGCCTCCCCTTCTGTTTTTCATTCTCTCAGGCTGAGGAAATGCAATTCAAAACCTTACAGTAATGTGATGTTCATTTTGCTGGTTTAAAGAAACAGATGTCAGGAAATGGGCCCCCTCCCACTTCTTAGCAGCTTCACCCTGTCTTCACTGCCTGGCCCTGACTTTCATGCCCTGAGCAGCCCAGCCCCCCAGAGCCAAACCCCGCCTTAGCCCTTAGGTCTCCTCCTACATCTAATTTGGGGGTAATTTGAAGTCTCCCTAACATGTGATCTTCATTCCCTGGATTACCCCAGACTGGAGCTACTGGGATTGATGAGAAACCAGCTGCATTTGGGGATGTCTCAGGGAGTAGGAACTCCTGCTCCTGGTTCTTGAGCCATGGAGGGGTTCTGGGACTGAGCTTTTGGAAATTTTGGCTCCATGTTCTTAGCAGAACAGGAGCAGGAGGAGAAGAGCGGGGTGACAGCAAGGTACTAATGATTTGAGAGAGGAACACGGCACTGTCTGGCTCCTCCACACCCGCCCGCCTGTGCCCCCGAGTGTGGGTATTGCTGCTCCTGGGGGCCCCCGTCTGTCCTGGGGGGAAGGAGGAAATCTGCTGACTCTCAGAGCTGTCTGTGGAGTCGCAGAGGCTTCAGATGCAGGTTTTCACACACCGTCAAGGTCTGTTCCATCCACCCAGCTGTACATTCCCATGACCTATGGATGTGTTCTCCTTGGGCTCCCCTTAGGGAACCTGGGAAGTGGAAGCGCTCGCAGCTCCTAGAGGCTGCCTGCTGCCCTAGTCTCTGGCCTGGTCTGTATTTATTATGGGCTCTCGGCCCGGCAGGAAAGGGTCTGAGCTCTTAACTCAGAGCACAAACCAGTAATTGCAGCACCAGCACTCACATCCCCAATCCTGAATTCTCAGAGCAGGTAATATAAGAGAGTGAGTCCCATGTCACCAAAGAAATATTCTTTCATAAAAGCGACAGTTCAATAGAGGAATATTTCTGCACCAGTAAAATCTAACTTCACATCCCAGGCTGTGTAACTAGAAGCAAGTTACTTAACCTCTGTGAACCTCAATCCCTTCCCCATAAAGTGGACAATAATAGTCCCTGTCCGAGGGGTGTTGTTCTGCTTTGCTGTGATTATGAAGGTTAGACCCCATCAAAGTGTCCTCTTATATCTGGAATTCTGATGAGGACCTGGATATTCCACAAATAGCTAATGCCCACATGAAGGGTACATACTTTGTATTTTTTCTCCCACCTTCTTCTCAAGAGTCACTGCCTAAGCTAAACATGGTGGTAACTCACAATCTAGTACACTCTGGAAAGCTGAGGCAGGAGGGTCTTAAAATTCTATCCCAGCTTGAGCCATCTAGCAACTTAATGAGAACTTGTCTCAAAATAAAACATTTTTTTTAAAGCTGTAGCTCAGTGAGAAGGTGCCTCCTACTGCAAAACAAGTAAATAAATACTTAAATAAGCCAGGTGTGGTACCACATGACTAACCCCAGCATTCAAGAGGCTGAAGCAGGAAGACTGCTATATAGTCAAGACCAGCCTGAACTATAAAGTGAAGTCATGTCTCAAAACAAATAAAAATCACTGCGTGAGAAACTGTGTGATTGAAAGAGAAAATAAGTTTGAGATTCACTGTGTTAAACCTACCAGTCCCCCCGGACGTGGAAAAGGTAACTGTTCTGAAAAAGCTCCTCCTGTGCCATGCAACCTGCTTCACAAAGGCAGTCCCTTTCCCAGGCACGACAGATGACTGAACACCAGGGACCTGAGACCGAGCTCCCTCGCCTTCCAGGGCTCCAAGCCCCCAAAGATCGCCGGTTGTGATCACCATCCACCCTGACCCTCTGTCCCTCCTTCTAGAAACCTGAGCAATAATAAGATCAAGGAGGTGCGAGAGGGCGCCTTTGACGGGGCCGCCGGCGTGCAGGAGCTGATGCTGACGGGGAACCAGCTGGAGACGGTGCACGGGCGCATGTTCCGAGGCCTCAGCGGCCTCAAGACCCTGTGAGTGCTGGGGTTGGGGCCAAGCCCCCAGGGGCCGGGAGGGCAGGGGAATTGGAGAGGCGGGTGCAGGCCCCGGCAGCGGCCCAGGCCTGCAGGATTCCGTCCTGTCCCATCCCATCCCTTCTTACCTCCAGCCAGGGTCGGCAGACACTTCTCACCTTCCAGGGGAAGCGCTTACAAGCTGTGCGGCACAGCACACCCCCACTCAGAACCACTGGAGGAGGCACACAGACACGTTCACCCCAAAGATGGACATATCCCCACGTTCATAAAAAACAGACACACAGACCATGCCCCATCGTGCACATAAACACATCACAGCAGGCGCATGTGTGCAAACACCTCACGTACATGAAGCTCATACCCACAGCTGCTTCTTGGCCCTCTCTTGTGCTCCCAGAAATACACGGGCCATCCCAATAACCAAAGGATACAGGGTGTGCACACATACACTTGGCTCATGTTTCCACAGTGAGTACAGCATGCACAGAGGAGAATGCACACGCACACACACACATGTATGCACACTTGGCTCTGATGGGGATCTAGGCCTTGCTTATCACAGGGCAAAGCTGAGTGACGGGGGGGGGGCTAAGCTGGGGAGCTGGCATCAGTGTCGCTTCTGTTACCCGAGCGCCATCTGGGGAGGAAAGCGGACACCTCTGTTCCCTCACACCCGCCCTGCTCCCTGCAGGATGCTGAGGAGTAACATGATCAGCTGTGTGAACAATGACACCTTCGCTGGCCTGAGCTCCGTGAGGCTGCTTTCCCTCTACGACAATCGGATCACCACCATCACACCCGGAGCCTTCACCACACTTGTCTCCCTGTCCACCATGTGAGTGCCCCCTTGTCTGCCCCTCCACACATCTCCCCAGCCACCCCTTCCAGGTCTCTCCTGTCTTTGACCAAAGCTGTGTGTCCAGCTGTTTACTGAGTGAGCATTTGTTAGGCTCTCTCAATGTGCTGGGTACTGGCAATGGACAGACCAGGCTCCTTCTTCCTGGAGTCACAGAGTATGAATTGCCTCGGAAGAGAAGACCTCAGTGATATAAACACCCAACAAAAACTTATTTGAGAAACTGTATTCTGGGGATTAGCTTGCTGAAGACAGTGAAAAATGCATTTCTTTAGCAGGAACAGCATGTACAAAGGCCCTAGGGTTGGTTGGAACAGAGCAGCTATACAAGGCTGAGCAAAGTCCAGTGTGGCTATAAATGTGAAAGGGCATGATGTCAGGCAAAGCTTGAAGAGGCCATGGCCAGGCTGCAAGGCTGCTGTGGGCCAGTTTTACTCGGTACCCTGAGAATATTAAGAATACCAATACTACTTTGAAACAGATTGGTGATCAGCAAGGGGTTGTAAAAAGATATCACGGACGACTTCCAAGCTCATCACAACTCGAACCCAGCTCTGTGGACCCTTCAGGGCGTGCTGCTTCCAGGGCAGTTGACTCTAGAGCCAAAGTTCTAGGCGCAAACCTGGGCTTCTCCTCTCATTCTCTGCGTGACCTTAGAGAAGTTGCTACCTTCCTGTCGCCTTCCATTCTCCCTCCTGCAGAGCCGGCCTCTAGGCTCTTCCTAAGGACTGGCTCTGTTCCGATCCGTGAAGCACACAGCGAGAGCCTGCACTAGGGACGGTCCTCGACATTCATTTTCCAAGTGGCTCGTATTTCTGTGGGCTCTGTTCTTTCCCCCAGAGCCCTTTGGTAGACAAGAAGGCCCAGCTGCTGCCATCCCTTGTGCTCCCGCATGCCCCATCATGCGGCATAGAAGCCTGGAGTGTAAAATGGCCTCAGGCCCTTGTGACCTGTCAGCCCCTCTCCCTCCAGCCGGGCTCCCCAACTCCCTGCCTCTTCTTCCCAGGCTCCTGCCCACCCCCACTGGCAGGCACCCTTCCTCCTGGCCCTTCCTCACCTGCCTCTATACTCAGGGCCACTTCTTTACCCGGCTATCACTCCAGGCCGGCTGTTCACATTTTACCATTTTCTAGGATACACTATAGTGACGTCACTACTGTAACCACTGCTCCTCGGTGTCCTCTGTGTAAATTCCAGGACAGGGAGATGCAGTGCTTTCGCTCATTGCTTATCCCACCGTGCAACCCTGAGCTGCAGCGGCTCCTGCCAAGACCTTTGCCGAGGTCTGACTCCATGCCCAGCTGTGATGCTGGATGAGTGGAGCGGGAGAATGGATAAATGAGTGGCACCATCAGCAGGGGACAGTGGGTGGGGGACCACCACTGGCACCGGATTCAGTTAAGCCCATTTTTAGGACCGCCACTGCCAAAAGCCATGCCAGATGCCGGGGTGGAATCACAGAGCTTGCAGTGAGCCAGCTCCAATGTGTGAGAACCTTCCAGCTCGCCAGGGCGCCTCCAGTCAGGGCTGAGTCGTACCCAGGAAAGCTGGCCCCGTGCTTTTCAGTCCCTGTCTCGGGGCAGCCGCCTGAGGGCTCTCTTGACACCCTCCCTGAGTGTCCCTTTCCTCATTTGTGGGTGACAACAGTGTTCCCTCCTGACAGTGTGGTTGTGACAAGCGTGACTGTGGTGACAGTGCGTGAAGCACTGAGCGTGGTCCCAGTCCTACAGCAGACTCTACACTCATGGTGACAGCCGCTGCCGTTCCCTCGTGCATCCATCAGTCTGTCCATGTCACTTCACAGATGGGGTCAGAATGCCTGTGAGGATGTTGGGCTGGGCCTGGACACAGACGAGCAGCCCAGGGTCCACCCTCATGGACTTAGGAGTCCAAAGCATGAGGTCCATGCGAAGCCCATGTAGAAAGACACTGCTCACTGTGCCACCGCCACAGAGGACATGAAGGGTTGGGGAAGATGTTGGCACGGGGCCGACGGTTCCATGTTAGCCAAGCAGCTTAGGGGTGCCGCTTGGCTGGGGTGTGGGAACCCAGGGCTGAGGGAGGAGAAGAATCAGCGGGTGAGCTGTATTCTGCCAGCCGGAGGGAATCCCAGGCGGTTCCCACAACTGGCACTTGACAAGAGACTCGGCCACGGCCACTAGTGGAAGCCTGCCACGGCTTAGGAGGGACCTGCAGTCCCTTTGCACACCTCCCCTGAGCCCCATGGAGCACTGGGCCTGGGCTGCAAGAGCTTATCCCACTCACAGAGGCCTCTCCCTCCCCAGAAACCTGCTATCCAACCCCTTCAACTGCAACTGCCACCTGGCCTGGCTCGGCAAGTGGCTGCGCAAAAGGCGCATCGTCAGCGGGAACCCCCGGTGCCAGAGGCCCTTCTTCTTGAAGGAGATCCCCATCCAGGACGTGGCCAGCCAGGACTTCACCTGTGACGGTGAGCACCAGGAGGGCAGGGGCGGCCGTGGGTGGGAAGGAGAGGAGGCGCAACGGAGCTGCAGCCCTGGAAGACATCCAGCTCCCCTAAGCCCTGTGAGCCAGGACAGACTCGCCGCTAGCCAATCTGGCTCCTTTGTGCAAATTAAGAAAAAATGCCCCTTTCCGAGGTTGTTTTACTTCCACCTGTCAGAACCTGCTATAATGAATGTGCTGATTGCATTAAAATAAGGCACTGCACTACAAGACATCACCATCTGTGAGGACACTGTTGTACCAAATACACCAGTGCACCTCATCACAGGGAGACTGGCATCTCGCCGATGGCATACACCGCCTCGTGCTGTATATAACTGTACAACTATTCGTGCAAGCTCCAGGCCTGAGTCTTCCTGTCCATGTCATAGGGAAGCTTAGTGTGAGAGAAGTAGAATTCAAGAAAAAAGACTGTTGCTGGCAAAGGGATAAGAACACAGGAGATCCAAAAGCTTCGGGTCCCAGCCTAGAGGCCTACCTATTGGTTTAAATGAATCCAAACCACACAGTTCCTTCCTTAATCAATTTGAGGTCATCTGAGGACAGATGAACCTGTCTGCAGATTAACTGAGGTCGACGTGAATTGGAAACCGGGGCAAACCACCCAGGATAGACTGTGTAGTGATGGGAAGGGAGACAGAGGAAAGCAGAAGACAGGACTCCGCCCCACCCCTAACTCCTCCTTCAGTCTTTCGTTCATTCCTGATCTGGTTAGAGTAATCTCTTGCACCGCTATTACTCTGGCTAGTTAAGTCCCAGCCACCATAGTAGTCGTCATTTTATGCCAAGTGCAGGGAGAGACAGGCAGCCCTCCCCGTGACCCAGCCAGGGATGAGCCCCACAGCTACCTTAATCCTGGATCTGGCGTAAAGTCAGACCCCCCCCCCCAGGAGAGCCTGCCCTTGCTGGGAACTGCTCGACCACCTCAACCCAGCCTTGCTCGCCTCCCACCCCAGCAGGGCTCTCCTCCTACCCCACTCACCCTATTGGGGTCCTCCACAGGCAACGACGAGAGCAGCTGCCAGCTGAGCCCGCGCTGTCCGGAGCAGTGCACTTGCGTGGACACAGTGGTGCGATGCAGCAACAAGGGCCTCCGTGCCCTCCCGAAAGGCATGCCCAAGGACGTGACGGAGCTGTGAGTTCCCTGCCCGTAGGGTGCCCTGCGGGGTCTGCACACTGTACCCCCAGTACACTGTACCCTCGGCATCCGCACACTGTAGCCCAGGATCCCAAACAAGGCTGCTGGTGGGATGCCTTCCTGAATGCGTCCAGGAAGGACTTCCCCAAGGTGGAGGCATCCGCTGTGACAGGGAATAGGAAGCCAGTTCCCCAGAAGCCTCAGCCTATCAGGGGAGGAATATCTGATCCTGCTCTCTGTAAAGAAATTCCAAAGTGCAAATGGAAGGCGACTGCCTCATGTTCTCTATCCTCCCGCCGGGCCTCTGCCCTGCACCCTGCCTGCCTAGAGGCCTTGGCTACTTATCTTCTGGCTCCAGCAAAGATGCAGGGGCAGCATGAGCGCGTCACCCAGGCACACCCTGGCTAGCAGCACACTTGGAACCAGTGTGGCTCTAGTTCACCTTCAGACAGTCCTACCGAGTACCTGGCCCCAGCTCAGGATGAGGCCTCAGTGCTGAGTGTTCTTCACTCTCAGAGCAGGAGCTTTCTTTCCCCACACTCCTGACAGTCGTTCCTCAGACCGTCCCACAACACAGACTCCCAGTTCAATGCAAGTCGCTGTTCTCTTCCTGAACGGCTCTCAATATTGCAGCAAAAACTTTACTTTGCTCCTTAGAAGGTTCCAGAAGGCCGGCAAGGCCCAGTCCTGCAGTCGGGAGACATGCTCTGTGGGGTGCAGCCGGGGCCACATGAGCGGTACACACTCACACCACCGAGCCAGTCGACACTCACACTTGCACGCATTCATGCCTTTGTTCATTTGCTCAGCATGTATGGATGAGGTGTGTCATGTGTCAGGTCCTTTGCGCATGCTACCAGGACAATGGTGAGTGAATCAGGTATGACCCCAGTGCTCGTGGGGCTCATGGTTAATTGGGGAAGGCAGATGTAGGTTTCATTAACTTAGAAGCGTGTGTGACATGACAGCCAGGAAAAGTGTTACAAAAGAGCCAGGTGTGGTGGTGCACACCTGTAATACTAGTACTTGGGAAGTTGGGGCAGGAGGATCAACATGAGTTTGAGGCCAGCATGGGCTGTGAGTTCAAGGCAAGACTCAGATACAGAATGAGGCTCTGTCTCAAAAAAATAAACAAATAATAAATAAAAAAGTACTACAAAAAAGAGATACAAGGTCAGCTCCCTAACGGGAGAAGTTAGCCCCGGTGTGAAGCTGAGAGCAGATCCTTCAGAGGGGACGAGCCGCACTGCAGACAGTCTCAGCACAGTGCCATAGCAAGGTCTAGCAGAAGCCCAGAGCATCCACACACAGCTCATCTCCTGCTTACATTTTGACACTTTCCCCAGACTCCCAATCTACCAATGCCAGCATAGCATGTATGCTCAGACACAAGCCACAGAGATGTGATCCAGATCCCCCCAGGCAGTGCTTTCTCACCTGCCCTTCCAGGTCCTGGGGTAGGAACTGAGCACGCCAGGCTCTCAGCAGAGCAGGTAGATCCTTGAAGATGGTGGTATCTCCGGCATTTCCTGATGCTCAGGGAGGCTGTGACCAGTGGTGCCAGCCCCAGAGAGGGACAGGAGTCTGACAGTCAAAAGCCATGTCAGCCATGGCTTTGGGCTGAGACCATGACCTTGAAGATCCGAGTGAGCAAATGCAATATGGTGTTGAGCGGTACCCTGGATGAGGAGCTGCAGACATGACCAGGAACACACTCCTTTCTGGCCCACTGAGTGCCAAGTGACACCTGTCAAAAAAAATAAGGAAATGCCATGGAAACAAACCCATGGATGCCCTTCTCCAAAACTCATGACAAAAGACTGAAATAACAAAGATAATTGGATGCAGTTGGAATCAAGCCTCCGTACAGGGAGGGACCTGAGAGTCTGCTTTGGAAGTGACAGCACTTTCCTCAGCCAGGCAGGGCTCCCAAGGCTCTCCAAGGAAGGCCCCTGTTTCTGTTGCTAAGCCATCTCCTTGCAGGCTGTGAGGAGGTTCCCTGGAGAGAGACAAGCAGGGAAATGTGGATCCAAGCAAGTGGGAGCTGACAGGTCCTGCACACCGTGCCACAGCCCCCAGCTCAGAAATGCTGGGTACCCTCAGACCCAGCTTCCAGTGCTTTAGCTTCCTCAGGTACCATCGGGCACAGATGCCACATTGCCACACAAATAACTCACTAAGAAGAAGCAAAACAAAGTTAAATCTGTCTTCGTCACTTTCTCATCACTGTGACAAAATACCCAACACCCACGTTTTGTTTTGGTTCATGCTTTCAGCCCACAGTCGCCTGGCTCTAAGGCACAAGGGCATGGCGGAAGGACATGTGGAGCAAAGCTGCTCATGTGTGGTGGCCAGGAAACAGAAAAAGAAGGGAGGAGCCAGGGAGGGAGACACACCTTTCCAGCTCACACCCATCGACCCGCCTCTTCTGGCCAGGGCCCACCCTCTAGCAGCACACGCAGCTGCTGCACTCACAGTAGAGGATTCCACAGAACACGCAGTACCCCCAGGATCCAGTCACCTTCCGCAAGCCCCATCTATAACAGCATGAAGCATTTGAGGACATTCTTGACATAAGTAATCTAGTTTTCTCTATAGGGCAGCTCGTAGGGAACTGTTGCTAGCACACAAAGCCCAGAAGTACCATCCAAGCTCAGTACCATCCCGGTGGGAAGTGACTTTTCCTCCATGGACAGACCCTGCATACATCCACTAGTCCTTGTCTCTCTGCCTCCTCTCAGCAACATCTTCACAGGTGAAATAAGCTGGGGAGAGCCTCCTTTGCCTCACCAGTCTCTGTAAGTCCTCCTGTAGGCAAACCTGCAGGGCCAATCACCAACCACAGCAGTAGAAACTTGAAGAGAGGTAAAAATCTGTTGCCCTGGTCCCATTGCTGGTCAGCAGGATTAGGAAATAGCCTTACAGGGCCAACGTCCCCTGCTCTGACTCATTATACCCAAAGTTTTCAAACTTTCCAGTCTTAGGGCCTCTTTATGCTTTTTAAAATCATCCATGACTCCAAGAATTATGTCTGTGTGAGTTCTGTCTACTGGTATTTCCCACTTTAGAAATTAATACTGAGATATTTTTAAATATGCATCTTTTTCCATTCAAAAATAATTTATACCCATTACATATTCATATAAGAAGCATATTTTTATGCTAAACAGAGCAAAAACAATTTAATTCAGAACAGTGGTGCTGTCCTGTACTTCTGTGGCTCTGTCTACCATCTGGATTCATAGCTGACAGTTGGCCCTGCCTGCCTGCTTCACATTCATCCCACTGTATATACTGTTCAGGATTCGGTAGAAGCAGAAAATCTAGGTGTGTGGTTGGCACAGTGGAGAGTACTGTAAGAGCCTATTCAGATAATTACAGATATTCTTCTTTGATGCTGTACCCAAGCATAGCCAGTTGTAGTTTGTGAAAGGCTGTCATATGGAATCTGTACCCATAGCAGTGAGCTTCATTTCCTCTCTTCTACCAAGACCTATTGGTCTGTCTTGACCTTTGGATGCATCTTTCTTTCTGCCAGGCACGATCCTGTAATATCACCCACTGGTCATTTGGAAAACAGTGGCTCACGGAGTTATGCAGATGTTTCAAGTGTTGACACACTGCATTGTACAATGTAAAATATTATCAGATCTACTGATATTACCACCGATCACGCCAGAAAAATCTGTAAGTTAAGGGAAGTTGCCAAGCTCTGTGTGGCAGTTACAAGTTTTCTGAAGTTTTAATTCTCACTTGGAAGCTCAAATTCTACCACAGGCAGCAAGTATCATCGTTGGTTTGCCTTGAAGTGACAGGCTCACTTTGTTCATTTTTTAAGAAACAGACTACTAACTACCCCTGCCTGAATAACCAGTTCACTACACATTCTTTTTTAAAAAATGTGTTTCATGAAAAAAATTAACAACCAGCCAGCTCAATGAGTGACACAATGACACGATTCTTTGCCTCGCAACAGCCACGTGCTTTCCAGGCAGCAGCGTGCGGTACACGCGTCCTGTTTTGCTGCCCATATTAAAGAAATATGTACTCAAATGTTGCATTAGTATAATTAATAATTTGCACTGCTTCATTCTGAAGTGAAATTTACTTTCTGATTTCTATCTGCAAGGTCACAGAGAATATAGGGCGCTGATGGCGTTTAGCGCTATTTCCCTGACCTGGGCTGAGGGGCCAATAATTGTCCGTTCTGCTGATTGTCTGCTATCCCCAGCACAAATCGCAGGCCATGTCAAAAAATAAAAATCAAGCTTTAATCTTACATAAAAAGTAGTTTTTGCCTCATCTACCCTTGAAAGCAGCTCAAAGACTCATAGCAGCCTGTGGATGCACTGAGAAGCATGCCAGTCATTATAAACTGGAGGGATTTGCAAGGGAAGCTTACAAACTCTTGTTGAAAGCAGGACAAGAAGCAGGTGCAGAACATTTCAGCCCAATTTCTAAAAGGCAAGTTGTATTATTCCCATTCAAAATATAACTGAGGCTTAAAAGGCTGAGTATTTTTAACTTTAAAAAACTTTAGTGGACACATACTAACTGTACCTGTTTAGGGGATGCAGTGTGACATTTCAGTACATATATACAATGTGTGATTATCAGATCAGAGTAGCATATCTATCACCTCTAGCATTTACTGTTTTTTTTTTTCCTAGCAAAAATATTCAAAACCATCTCTACTAGCTATTTGGAAATATACAATTGCTAACCATAGTTTCCCTGCTACAGAACAATAAGGTTATTTCTGCTATCCAATTGCAACCTGCATGCAATAACCATTCTCTCTCCATTTCTGCTTTTCCACTATTCTACCCACATCTGGTCACTGCTACTCTATTCTCTACTTCTATGAATTCAATTATTTTACCTTTCACACATAAGAGAGAACATGCACTATTTGTCTTTCTGTGCCTGGTTGAATAATTTTTACAACCATGCTGCCAATAAGAAGCAGAGCATGGATTCATGCCAGGTCTGCCTGA